TAGGGGAGGGGCGGAGAGTGTCCGTTCTCTTTACTTTTTGTTCTCTGCTTTTGAATGGTATTTTTTTTTTCGAATAAAAATGTGTATATAGCTAAGTTTTCTTATTTTCATTACACCATGTACTTGTTTTTACTGTACCAAGTGACGGGACGAACAAGTGATGCGTGTCGCTTATCACCAGGCTAAGCGACACGCCTGTCAGTAATAGTTGCAGTGCCACTCAGTGCCTCAAATCGCAAACATCTGAAGGGCACTGCCACTGCGCCCTTCACCCTGAGACATAAATTGACAATTGTCCCATGTGCCTATAACTTCACCAGCACCCTTACCCTTCAAAACCAAAACACAGTAATGCTCACATAACTGTTTGGCGGCAGAAGTACTTTCACGAGGAGCTTTACTGCTGCTAAAACTTTTGCAGTATTTTTTCTTTTTTTTTTTTAATTGTGACTCGGCAAAATGACTGCACCGCGCCTGATGGAAAGTGCGAATACAGTCCAGAGATGAGAGTAACGGATGGAAAACACAAATATCTTCACTCCGTCACTATCATTTTGCCGGTCTGGCCAAATGCTTCTTCACACTACGTTTGAAGGACCCGATGTTATAGAGGGGAGGGAATACATGCGCCGGGAGTTGGTTCCACAATTTGATGGTTCGGCATAAAAACGAATTGCCAAACTTTTTAGTGCGGGACGGTATTGAACTGACCGTCCATCTGTGGCAACGCAGTCCGGCACGGGTGGTCCGCTGATGGAAAGGAGAGGAAGGGATAAGGTTGAATAACTCTTCAGAGCACTCACCGTGGTACAGGCGATAGAATACGCTAAGAGACGCTATATCTCTGCGAAGCTGTAACGACTCCGCATGCTCAGTTACATGAGGATCGTTGACAACACGGAAGGCGTAGCGCTGCAGTCCTTCGGACCTGAGCTTTATACAACAGGTATCGCAGCTCTGGAGTAAAAAATCGGTGCACCTTGTTCAGGATGCCAAGCTTGCGCGACGCGGTACAGATGACGCTCTCGATATAATCTTTGTTGCTCATGTCCTTCCGGATGCTCATCCCCAGCAGGCTGAGCTTGTCCTGCAGCGTCAGCGTTGTACCCTGAAGATGGGGAAGTGGAAGGAATGGGGATTTTTTGGAGCTGAACGCGCATACCTGGGTTTTCTTGGCGTTGAACTCAACCAAGTTTCGGGAGCCCCACGACGATATATGTTCCAAAAAATGGTTAAGCTCATCGACAAGTTTTTCCCGGTTTCTCTCAGGGTCCTCCCGGGTGCTTGACGATTGCTTATAATAGCAACCGTGCACTGTGCTATCATCTGCATAGCAATGAATGTTGCCAAAAGGCAACAAGTCATTGATATGCAGAAGGAACAGCGTGGGCGACAGCACGGAGCCCTGTGGCACCCCAGCATTAACTGTCACGAGCCGCGAAGTGCCTCCGTCAACAAGGACACGCAATCTTCGCTCGCGCAGAAAGCCGGAGATCCACTCACAAAGGCGGCCGGGAAGACCATATGCCGGAAGCTTGGAGAGGAGACCACGGTGCCAGACCCGATCAAAGGCCTTAGCAATATCCAGACTTATCGCTAAGGTTTCGCCCTGTTTGTCGATAGCTTCACCCCAGAGATGCATAAAGCGGACATGAATATCCTATAGTATGACTACACCTTTTTGTTGCACTTTATGTATATATATACCGAGACATTAATACGTAATTGTATAAATAAATAAATATTCGCAGCGTGTGATATTAAATGTCAAGTAAACACTCCAAGCACTCGTCTTTTACCTATCTAATTTAGGTCTTGTGCGTTATGAGTAATCTTACTGTCAACGCCGCTATCTGATAAGTAATATCAATAAAATATAATGTTTGAGTAAATACAAGATATAAGCCATGCTTTTTCAATTATATGCACACAAGTTATTAATAGATTCAGGCATTACTGTTCGGCAGTGCATGTAACAAATATTCAACACAAGCGCAACTATTTTGCACGATTTAACCTCCACTGCAATAGCAAATTAACTTTACTCCCATTTTCATTAGACTGCATACAGACATTATATACACTTAAAAAGTATATAAAAAATCAGCCATACTCTTTTTATTAGAAAATACACATAATGGTTAGCAAACACCTGGCAAGGATCTTCAAATAGATTTATTATCGAATGCAATTCATTTCATTCTTGTATTTCACTTAATTGTAAATACTGTTTACCATCATAATCATCCACAGCCCGACTTCACCCACTACTGGGTATAGGCCTACCATAGTTTGTGCGATTCGCCACGATCCCGTGCTAGTATCACCCATCTACGGCCCGCAACTATGACGAATTCGTTCACTCACTTCGCTACAGGACCCACGTTTCTTGGCCCACCATTCGGTTGTCGCTTTACTCCATCTGCCTTCACCATCTCTCGCAATATGTCCTGCCCAGGTGGATTTTAAGTTTCCGAACTCCTATGTCCTGGACCTTAGTTCATCGGATTTCGAAATTTGGAACTCTAAGTTTGATGCCGAGCATGACTCGCTCAATGGGCTCTTTGTGCAACTCTCATTCTGTACACAGCCTTCGGTGTGATCATCCACGTGCGTTATTATCACAGTTTTATATTGCTTTCTATGTTTGTTCAAGGTCATGAAATAAATTTAAAAAATTAAAATCTTCCGCGAACACTCGTTGGTTGACAGATAGAATAACCGCCAAGTGTTTCTTCTACTTTCTGGTTATCTTATGCTGTATAATCGCTTTTTAATTTTGAAAACTTGATTACTGACTGAGATATTGAGTACTTATTTAGTTTATTCGCTAAATCCATAACTGTAGTTACCTACCTATTATTATTTTAGAGCGTGTAACACCGAATGGAGTTGAAGTGTCAGTTTTCGACGGGGAAGAAGAAGTTTGACAGGTCGCCTGACCTGTCAGACATGACCTGTTACCGACTATTTGGTTCTGAGAAAACAAACTTAAACCACTCTGTCTTTTCAGCATCAACTCTATTGGCGGGAAGTGTTAGTTATTTTGGTTATAATATGATAATAACTAAGCCAACTAATCCGTCTCGGCTGCCCAAAGAGCGTCTTGGCAGCCAACATCCGTATAACACATACTACACGCTCTCACGAAGTCGAGTACACACTCACTACAATAATACACTCCCTTGTTTGTTCTATTACATGAGGAAAAATTCCCAGTAACAGAGTTGACGACACATAAATTGACTTAACCGCGCCTACCTAACAAACCAGCTCTATATTATATCACTGTTACGCTTATCGATGTAAACATTATACGTATATATAGAGATGGGAAAAACTACTTATTTTTTTAAAAATTACAACTTACGGCGTTGTGCTTTTTTTAAAAAAGCGTGCTTTTCTAAACGCTTTTCTTTTACGTTTTTTAGTTTGAAGCTTACAAAATCGTTAAAAAAGACGTTTAAGCGTGTTGACTTTTATATTAAAAAAACGTTTGCAACGTTGTGTTGATAGTTATAAAGAAAAATAATAGATAGTTGAAAAGCAAGCGTAGACTACTATAGTAAGTTTATTTGCAAAACACGAGTTTTATTTTTATTATTACAATAATAATTATACCAAACTAGTGCCGTAATTTCACAAAAAAAATAATTGAATACTACGGTAGTCAAACATCGTGACATTCAATGAACTTAAAAATTACAATATAGAAAAATTAGAGTTTTCTTTCTACTTTTTTTATATGTTATAGACACACGCTTGGCCACAATCTCACCTGATGTTAAGCGACGATGGGACGCGTTTGCCTAAAAAATGCCTATTCTCTCTAGCCTTGAATAGCCCCAAATTGTACTTTTCATTCCATTCCTTTAACCTAACCGGAGATCGAACCCGGTACCTCAGAGGTGGCGACACTGAAAAGCGGTGTGCAAGCCACTCGACCACAGAGGTCGTCGAAAAAGTCAAGATCAATATCATCGTTATTATACAGCCCACTGCTGGGCACCTTCACGTTTTTCAAGGGTCATGAACCTTCTTCGAAGTGCTGGTTTCATCACATTTTTCTTCACCGTTACCAAGAGGAGTTGCTACTAAACATTAGTTATGTATAACGTAGAAATGAAAGTCCGACCCCTCGACAAAGAAGCAACCATTGTCCCACTATGCTTCCTTCCACCGCTGTTCCTTATTTCGTATTCATTCTTCAGCCGTTAAACCCACTGCAGGGCAAAGACCTTCCTGGCCTTACTCCACTCATCACGATTTAACTCCGCTACAGGCCAAGATCTCATATGGATATTTAGCTAGTCACGCCATCTTCTTTTGGGTCTTCCACGTCCCCGTCTTGAGATCCATTAAATAGTCGATCTCGAACTGACGACCTAGATTGGCCAACGGTTTGCACTATGGACACTGGATGGTAAAGTCCCGGGTTTGATTCCCGGTAGGACCAATTTATTTATGAAAATGAACTTTTCTAAAGTTGTTCTAGTCTGGGTATTCTGGGATGTGCCCCAGAGTGAGTTCCATCGCTCTGGTACAGGGAATTCCCTAGTTTGAGACCAGGCAATTGATGTGGTAGACAACACATTATTTTATTAATCTTTGACCACATCTCGCTTGACATGCGACAGACGTGACTGGCCCATTTTATTTTTCTTTCTATGAAGTATCACAGCAATTGCGTCACTTAGTAAGTGACGGAACGAACTAGTCGTGCGCCTGGCGGTAATATCGCCTGTCCATAACAGTTGCACTGCCACTGCGCCCGCCACTCTGAGACATAAGTTTACAAGCCCATGTGCCAGTAATTTCACCCCGTTACCCGTCAAACCGAAACGCAATAATGTGAGCATTACTGCATGGTGGCAGAAATGGGTAACGTGACTGTATTTCCCATAACTTACCCTTTCACAAGAAACTCTACAACCGCTATTTATTTCAGGACAGCGGCTTTTTGACCAATTTAAATTTAATAAACTTAATTTTTATTTCAGAACATGAAAGTACTTACTTTCAGCTTCGCGAATTCCGCCATCGGCAAAGGACGCCAAGTAGCTATGGCGTTAATACATCACTCGTTCCCCAAAAGACACGACCTGCTGTTTGCGTACGAATACAGAGAGCGTTATCATCCCACCCTGCCTTCAGATTTGAACATGTTTCAACGACCTAATGATTGGAAAAGAGAGCTTGAAAGGTAACTAAGAACCAACAGCATTTACAATATTTAACCTTACTTTCTCAAACCCATATCTTAAAGCACAAAGGTACTAAAATGCAAAAAAAAATATTCTTAAAATCATGCATCCAAGTTAACACCCTTGATAAGAAATTTAAAATAAATAGAAAAGTTTTGCCATCTCCTGACCTGAATCCCTCTTTATAAGATATGAGGTTGAGAAAGTGAGGCGACGATGTCATGAATGTACATAGTAAAACATAAAATAGTAAAGCTAATAGCAGATTTTCTAGAATAAAATTTAGTATATAAATACAGCACCACAACCTACTTAAATATAATGTTATTTTTATTTAAATATATGTATAACTTTAAATTTAAACCGTTACTGCCATGATGAGTATTAATAAATAATATAAAATAAACAACCTCACAGGACTACGTTAGTATCATCTTAGACAACAAGTTTTGTTCCATGACTTTTAATAATTCATCCAATTTTACTTTCATACAAAAATAAATAATTCAAATAGATCGCTCTAAACGGTAATAACTCTGTGCGGCACGGTTTGAACTTATTCTACCAAATGCAGATCTTTAAAGTGTCAGATAGTACAAGAAAAACTT